ATTTATTTCTATTAATTTATGAGTAGAGGATAAAGCACGCTGTCTATATTAGTACAAAGAGTAAACTATGTTGCTATTTCGTACAATTTGCCTCTAAACTAATGTGATTACATGTTCCATTTTAGGGGAATGTGATGCAATTATCATATGCCTAGGTTCTAGATCCACTTTCCTCCCAGAGCTCTCACAGGCAAGCTTCCATAAAGACTTAGAGAGGTGTCACTGCCTACTTCCATCCACCTGAAAAAATCGGGTATATGATAAAACAATTTAGCACAAATGTGTATCACTAAATTAGATCAAGTTTACAAAAATAAAATATAAAAGGTGTACTTCTCATCCAGAATCCAAGATATTTATTTACACATGGGAGTGGAAATCTTGCAACTATTAACAAAAAGTGTCAATGGATGAAATCTTCAAAAGCTTTGGAAGATCTATATCCAAGTATATCCAAGTATATCCAGGTGTAACAGAAAGCAAAACTTATAATGGAGACAAAAATTAATCGTGAAATGATCGTAGTTTGTCTTTTGAGTTACATGTTAAACATTGAGTTTAAACATTCTATAAAACACTAAGTTTATACAAACTTGGAGAAGGAAACTTAGATACAGAATTACAATGGTCTTTGGTTATGCATTACCCACTTGTACTTTGATCTTGGTCACTAATTGCTAGGTCGTATGTTTAATATATATGTTTATTACAATCTGTCTTTTGATGTATATTAAAGTTCTTAAGGTCGTATTTCTTACGCAAAAGCTTGAAATCTACATGCTAGCATCTTCTCTAATTTCTCCATCTGGACATCTGTGAAGAGTAGAAATATGCTTCACATGATGTCTTTATTTGTTATATTTGTATATTATTAGTTATTCGTATTTTTATTATTATTATATAAAGTATACAATATTTTCAATAATTTTTACGTTCAAATATTATTTTGGATTAAAGGTTAACTAAAACAAATTTGTTAATAAGAAATTTAGAAACTATCCTATGTAGGTTCAAGTTTTGGATTTACTGTACCACATTAATTTAAAGAAGACAAGTTTGTTTTCATATGAAAGTTCCAGGCAAGACTATATATGTGAGACTTATTAGTATTTAACAAAAATAAAAGATTAGCATGGTGGATGGGTTGATTTTATGGTTATTAGGTGCTTTACCCTTGTCTCTTGATGTCATGGATTTTCTTAAAGTGCAAGTTATTTTGTGAGGTAAATGCAAGAAACAACCGTATACTTCCATTTTGTTGTGTATTCCATTTTGTTGTGTATTATAGCACCTTACATTCATATTTTATATTACAAAATTGTACTTTCAATCTCTTTTCTTATTAAGACATTACACTTTGAAATATTTATCCAAGTATATCATTGTACTTTTAATTTTCTTCTTATTAAGGGCATTGCACTCCAAAAAGTCTGCCTAATTAGAAATTGTACAATCGGTTGAAACGGTTATGATAGTTATGTAGATAAAAACATACATAACTAGAAATGATTTTGTAAATAAAAAACATGAGAGTAGAACAATTGTAACATCTACTTTACAAGACTATCTAACTACAAGGAAAAAAGAACATATTTGACTATAAACAGTGAAGTTATTGCCGATCATTTTTAATATATTTTGTTAAAAAAGTTTTAAAGATAAATTTATATATAAATGACAATCGGCATAAAAGACACTATGTTTTTATTCTTATAGATTTTTAACACTATTTTTTTGTTCTAAATTAAACACTACATTTTCTAATTTTGTTCATTGTTGACCAATTCACCGGGATCCTTTTGGGTATCCGGTTGCTGCGGTGGCGCTGAAAAAGGCATTGTTCAATTTAGGACAAAAAAATAAAATGTAAAAATCAAAAAAGATAAAAATATAGTGTCTTTTGTGCCAAAAGTAGAAAATACAGTATCAAAATTGAAATGTCTTGTTCCAAATTTGGGAAATATATATTTTGATTTAGTTAAAAAAATTATGTAGTGTCAAAAAATAAAAACACAGAAATATTATAAATATTTGGATGGATTAACTTGTTAATCCTGTTATATATTTTCCTATGCTATATAAAGAAACAAGTAAAATAGTAAAGTAATTGTTTATTGCCAAGTTAGATTGACGGTTGTTAATCTGTTATATTTTTGGATGGATTAACGGATCATGACATGTAGGGGTGTAGTTGAGTCGAGTCGAATACTGCCAAGCTCGAAACTTGAGTCGACTAAATAACTCGAGCTCGAGCTCGACTCAAGGTTTAATTTCAAACTTGAACCCGAGCTCGATAAAGTAATCGACACTTTCGAGCTCGAATCGACTCAATTAACTACTAAGAAAACAAAATTACATTAATTTACAACATCTATGCGATTAAGCTCGTGAGCTCGACTCGACTCAACTGTATGATATGTAAATATGAATAAAAGAAAGGGTAAATGTGTAAATATAATAATGCTCGATTAAGCTCATGTGCTTCATGGGCCGAGTATTCTAATACTCAAGTTCGGCTATATAATGTACTCAAGTAGCTCAAGCTCAACTCGACTTTAGCCGAGTTGATTTTGAGTATTTTTCGAGTCCGTCTTGAGTATCTCACGAGTTGGCCCGAAATCCAAACTTTTTCATACATAATGTTCTCGAGTTTTTGTAAGATGAAAATTGAAAAAAAAATATGTTTTTCAGATATTTTTTGGAAAGAAAAGAAAAAAAACAATAAAATGTCTTCTCATGTATCATTTAAAAAAAGGAAAAAAATGGAAAAGAAAATAGGATATTCCCTTCCAAAAATTAGGAAATATATAAAGGAAAAGAAATAAAGGTTCCTTTTTTTTCCTTAATTAAACTCGACAATAGGATAGGGATGTCAACGGGGGCAAACGGGACGGGAAGTGCATCCCCAGCCCCCGCCCCTGAAATTTCTCCGTTCCCCCATCCCCGCCCCCGCCCCCGAAATGTTCAGCCTTCCTACCCCGCGCCCCCGCCCCTGAATCCCCTTTATTACCTATGCCCCCGCCTCCGTTCCCTTGCCCCCATTGATTTTGGGCTCCCTTTTTTTGGGCTAAAAGAAGTTGTTATTTAAGCTAAAAAGCTATTTTTTAACTAACAAATAAATTATTTATAGCAGAATTTTATATGTTAAAAATGAAAAAGTTATGGCATCTTAAAAACATTATACTAACAACTTAAAAACATGTTTTTTGATAAATTTTGGAAGCTCAAAATTCTATTATTGTTTATTATATTTATATAATTAATATATGTAAATATATGTGTAATTTATTAACGGAGTCCCCATGGGGGTTTCGGGACGAGATTGCCCATCCCCGCCCCCGCCCCCGTCCCGCCACCGATTTTGTTTAAAAATTCCCCCGAACGGGACGGGGCCCCCACGAGACTTTTTGACATCCAGGGTGAAAGCCCGCAATTCATTGAAATTGTTACAGATCCATGTCGCAAAAAATCTCACCCTGTTCTCATTGAATCTCGCCACTGGCCGACGTTCTGCGCCAATGATCTTTCTGTTCCGGTCTCACCTACTATGAATCATTCAGGTATCCCTTGTGTAATTTTTTTAATTTCTTTTCAACAATCAAAGAAAACAAAGACATTTCTAGGAACACCCAAAAAGAAAATTGTAGAATTCTTCTTTAACAATGTCACCAAAACAACATAATATTGTCCCTAAAGTCTATCTTTACTAAATTTAATTCATAAACCAAGTTTACTAAATTTAACTCATAAACCAAGTTAATGTCAATTGAAGAAATTTTTAGCAAAAACAAGTTAATGTTTTGAGCATTGAAACCCTACAAAATGAACCAAAATATTGATGTAAAACCTCTTCAACAGTCTATGTTTCTCTGAACTAGATTTAAGTCTTGACAAAAAGAACTCAAACGTAAGTAGGTATTTCCCTTTTTAAAGCTTGACAATTTTTGATCAGCTACATTACTATTATGCAATGAACTCACCCTAGCATGTTTACAAAAGCAGTGTATATAGAGCTAAATTTTCATATATTTTGTTGCTAGGGTTCATTTTCAATTTGTGTTTAAGCTAAAATGTTCTGTAACTAGTAATTGTTTCGTTTAGGGTTTAAGTAAGAGTTTGTTGAAGATCAATATGCTTAAGTTAAAATGTTTTTATTTTTTTTTCTTTGTGTTTTTGATCTAGTCAATTGGATTCGGCCCTTCTCTAATTTCTTTTCTTCTTTAACAGGTTCGTCTGTTACCTTGTAGCTCCTCTGCTCTAAAACCCAAATATATTAGTAATATACTTTTTGTAGTAACAAATGGGGTAAAAAATGGAGGAGGGTTGGAGATGAAAAAGTATGTACCCCATTTTTTACTCAGTTTTGGGGTTAAAATACGGAGATGTGTTGGAGCTGGTCTAAGTTGGTCTAAGTGGAAGCACATATATTTCATGTGAAAAGGAAAAATGAAGACAGGAAAGGACCTCCCAGTCAAAGTTTGCTTTGACACTCTAAATCGAGAGTCTCCCAGGTGCAGTTTTATCAGACATATTCATACGGTTATTGGCTAAACAGCTTGCTCAAATGAGATGCGTCTGTAAATCTTGGAATGCTCTCTTATCTGAAACTTCCTTTATAAAATCTCACCTCCATCATTCTACCCATAACAACAATGATATTTTCTTCTTCTTCCGTTTTTCATTTGACAACCATCTATTCACATGACGCTACTCTTGCTCACCAAATCTTAAACTCACTAGTTTTTTCAAACATCCGGTTAATACCCAAAGGCTTCCACTGCACGTCACATGAATTTCCAATCAAAACAAAGTTGATGTAGATGGCCTTGACGACTATCTTCATTGGCTTTTTTATATTGATAAGGAGATGAAAACACGTACAATAGTGGCATTTGATTTGGGGTGCAGAGACATTTTGTGAGATCCCTCTTCAAGATTCTATACTAGATTACACTTGCTGGTATAATGTTGTAGGAGTTTTGGATGGAAAGCTTTGCGTGATGTCAAGAGTAAAAGGTGGTAAATGTGAGGTGTGGGTTATGGATGAGTATGGGGTGGCTGAGTCATGGGTGAAATGCCATGTCTTTTCGCATTTCAGTGGTGATATAATTCCATATGGAATCACATTACACAATGAGTTTCTTCTTCGATTTGATGGTGGTTTTTGTTTGTATGATCCAATTGCAGCCAAGACTAAAAACTTTGAGATTAAGGGTAGAATACAAATTACTAAAATTGTGGAGTATATTGACAGTCTTGTGTGGCCTTCACCTGTCGTGCATGCGAGGCATCAGTTGTTAAAAGGACTACAAAAGGCAACAAAGGGCATCTCTCGATTTTTATTTTGTAAAGGCATCAGCTGTTAAAACGGCTAGAAAAGGCGAGACATTAGCTCCACTTTTATATATTTCGCTATTACTAACTAGTCTGCATTATGTGATATTTCTTTTCTTTTAGAACAACTTGATGTTATGTTTCTTGATTAGTTTTTTATCAATCATCATTTTTTCTTAAATGCATTACATCTACACCCTCTCTCTTGTTCGCATGATTCTTTCAACATTTGGTCATGTTTCACTTTTGAATTAAGTTGGTGGTATTTATGGTTTGTTTCTATTACTCTTTCGGTCTTTCCCATAAGAATTGACCAATCATGTAGGCTGTAGCATTATTTCCCCTTAACTTTGTAATTGATCAAAGCCAGAAATTTTCTGAATATAATTTTTTTTTTTTCTATCTTATAACTTGAAGTATTTTTGTGGGTTTTATGGTTTGATGTGATGGTTATTCAACTATATCTTAGGCCGGTTGCCTGAGCGATCTGGTTGTAAGCTATGCTTTAAAGAAAACAAGTGGGTGGATCTGTAGATTTGATATTTCGAGGTTTTTAATGCATTAGGTCGTACAATATGTTGAAATATTGAACGTTTTATGATGAGCTTGTTCCAAATAAGGGAAGTAGAATAAATGATAAGTTAATGCATGATGTCTATGAAACCCCTTATACCCTTCTCTTGAATGGTGAAAGAAATAATAGAAGCCAAAGTGGACAAAGGAGTATGGGGTGGCTGAATTATTGCACTTGGATTCGCATTACAAGATAAGTTTATGTTTGAAACGTATAAAAGTTGTGTAGCTTTGCATGATCCAGTTGCAGTAAAAGTTAAATTCTTCAAGTATATTTATTCTGAGTGGAAATTTAAGAAGTAAGATTGTTGTGTTTGTTTAGGTTGCACCCACTAAGAATGTATCAACTTTTTGCAGCATCTGTTGGAAAGTGAATGTTCAAAAGGAAAAAATGATATATACATCAGATGAACTTTATGTACATTTTTTTTATAAGAACTACTCTTTGCGTGATTGGACATTTGTTACTATGCTAATATGAATTGAGGATTAAGCTTTTAGTTTCTAAATCACAAACAGTGTTTGCTGCCTTTCTTAATCTGTTTGAATATGAAACCAGGCCTGTTTTTTTTATTTGATTTGATTGTTTATGTGAGTTTTTGGTCGATTTTGGTTTTGACAAAATTGCAAAAATGGTCCCTGTGGTTGGCAAAATTCTGTAGTTTTTGTCCAAAAAAGTTTGGTGGTGCATCAGAGGTCCAATTTTAGATACCTTGTGTGCTTTTGGTCCCTATGGTTACCAATTGTTTATGGTTTTGGTCTATACCCTACCTAAAATGACAAATATGCCCTTTTGATTCTTTTTTTTAATTTCTTTTAATTATAATCTTTTTATGTTTATTTTAAAAATACCTAAAAAAGAAAACCCACCCACCCCACCCCCTTACATATCACATCCTACCCCACCTCTAACTCCACATCATCTATCTTTCTCTTCTTCCATTTTTTTTATCGAGTTGCAGGTTTCCAAGAGAATAAGCAACAAGTTTGTGATGATGATCTATCACCCTTATTCTGCTTCTCTTCTAAATCGAGCCCTTCTTCCATAGACCCCACCCCCATATTTCTCCCAACCGTCGCCATGAGACCCTTCTGCCGCCGCCACCCCTATTTGTTCATCACCACCCCGACAATGCTCGTTCATCAGCTCCAATTTCAGCTATGCAACTGTTGACACAATTGAGTTGTGGGATGATTTAAGCTTCGATTGTTCTTGGAGATCAAACCAATAAATTCGATTGTTCTTGTGTGTGTGTTCTAAAGAGCAACCACCACCTTCTACCACCCTTATACCTCCTTTTTACTACTACCATCAGCCACCTATTACCCAAAAAAAACACCAATTGACAACCCTCACCATCAACTTCCCAAATCAGCCACCAATCACCAACTTCTACCGCCACAAATCAACATTATTTCTCCACACCAACCCATTGTTCCCAAACCTTAAACCAACCATCACCACAACCATTTACTTGTGCAAATTAGCAACCTATCACCACCATAAACCCACCATTACCGATCCTTCAACACTCTTCTACCCTGTTCATCGCTATTTACATAGCTTATGTAACATCTCGATGTTAAGGTACTTCTAAATGCATCCCTTTAATTTTACTATATGTCATTTTTGGTCTGTAATTCCATGAGAATGTGCCTTGAAGCCCTAGTGGCATTCTCGTAATTTTGGTAGGAGAAGTACGTCATGTGTAATTGTGTATACGCTAGTACGCTGGTCATACACTTATGTATGCGGGGCGTACTAGCTAAAGATGCAAACCCTAATTTTTAGGGTTTGGGCGGTATTTAAGCATCTTTATGGCCTTATTTCTCCTCACCTAAACAGCCTCTACCCTCTCTTCGTGATTGAAACCCTTGAATCATCTTGTGAGGTCATTTCAAGTGTTAAAGAGTGTGTTTGTGTGATTAGAAGAAGAATGAAGGAGGTCAAGCTCAACTTGGAGAAGTGAAGCATCTTGGATCTGAAAGTTTTGCACCATTCTCCATCATTTCAAGGTATAAAGCTCATACCTTGATGGGTTGTACTGCTCCGTGCGGTAGCCAACAATCCCTGGATCAATCTAGATATGAGCTGAGGGCTAGGTAGGGCATTCCAGACTCATACTGGGGGCTCATTAGTATTCCATATACAAGCTGAGGGCTAGGTAGGACATGCCAGACTCGTACTGAGGCTTGTTGCTATTCAGTGTAAGGACTTATCTGGTTGGGGAGCAAGCCAGACATAAGCTATGGGCCTCGAGGGCAAGCCAGACTTATATTGTGGGCTCAGGGGTAATCCAACCTTCTAGTTGTGGACCCATTGCACGTTGTTATTATATATGAATATATATATATATATAATATATATATATATATATATTATATATATATATATGTGTGTATGTGTGTGTGTGTGTTATTTGTTTATGTGTTGATACTTTGGGGGAACTCACTAAACTTTGGGCTTACAGTTTTGGGTTATGTTTCAGGTACTTTAGATGATAGAGGGAATATGGAGATGTGATCGCACCCATCCTCGTGTTTAACTTATGATTTTGAGAAACTCTGATATGGAATATGTTTTGAAAATTATGTTGTAAACAATTTATGATTTCGGGTTGGTTTTAAAAATTCAAAATTTTCTTGATTTTTATGGGTGTTACAAGTTGGTATCAGAGCCTTGGTTTGAGTGAATTGGGGGTACACTCGTGTGAATCCGGTCTCAAACTAAGGAAAAAGATTTAAAAATGTTTTTCAAAATGTTTTTTAAATAATCAAGGAGGATGTGATGTGTACGATCAGCCGGAGCCAGTAAGTAGAACCCAAATTACCACACTATTATTTGATATTCTAGTATGTTAGAACAACATGCTAGAGATAGGCTAGGGATCTTCAGGAATCTCATGATAGAATTTCCTGATTACATGATGTCTTATAGCCTAGGAAATTGACATCATTATTGTAGTTGCTTAGTGTATGCAGCATGGTTGTACATAACTAAGATTCTATAGCATGAGAATGTTTGGTTTGACCTTATTTCCTTTTCTTATTTTATGAAGGGCTTAGGGTAGGATCAGATATTCGACTGTCTATAGGGTACAGTGTTATGTATGATTAGCATACGCGAGTGCTGCAGGTGAAACATCCAAAAATTATGACACAAAAATTTCATTTTTGATTTAAGTAAAAACAATATTACAATACATTGTTCATACAACCCAATAAAATAAATATGTCAAACATCATAAAAACCAGAGTATGTCCCATAAACAGAATCCATATGGTGTGTGCGATGCAGTCAACCCGACCTCTTCCCCTTGGAACCGCAAGTACCTAAAACATAAACTAAAAACCGTAAGCACAAAGCTTAGTGAGTTCCCCAAGATACCGCATACCAAACATATCATATAAAGGGCCCCGCCCACACTAACATACCAGGCCCCGCTCAATGAGATACGGGCTCCGCCCACACTCGCATAACGGGCCCCGCCCAATAAACATACATGTAAATGCAGATACAAGTATCATACAGACAACAAGTATATCAACATAACCAATCAAGGGTCGGCTTTGGTGCCTTAGACCCGCTAAACCCAGTGAGGAAACTCACCTCAAAAAGCTGAATGAAACAAATGATCCTTACTGCTGGTCCTATGGCTCCCCGAGCTATCAATTTCCAAGTAAAAACCAATTAACATGTGCATCTACATCATAACCAAAAATCCCTACTTGGGGTAAAAAGACCATTCTACTCCTAACCTAGCTTGGTTTAAGAATGAAGCCCATAACCACAATCCAATGGGCCCAGAAGTCAAACAATCTATCAAGGCCCAAAATATGGCCCAAGTTCCAATCGGGCCCAATCCCTTCACATGGGCCTTAGCCCAAGGCCTAATAATGTTCCTGGCCCAAAAACTGCCAAAATCAAATGGCCCAACTAAACCCTAACCTTCTAAACCCAAAACGAGGCTGAAACCTAAGGCAAAACATTGAAATGCCATCAGACTAAGTACGTTGGGCGTACTTTGGTGGTACGCTAAGCGTACTGGCTTAAAGTCGTGTACGCTGCGTTTACAGGCTTGTACGCCTAGAATACTGTTTCAATTCAGCCAAATTCTAGATTTAGCTCCTAACCCATTAAGACTTTGTTCTAGAACGCAGATCTGACCTCGTTAAGCTGAAATATCATGTAAACTTGCTAACTTTACGTCCATGCATAACCATAAGAAGCTCTAAACCTCAACAAGGACTTAATAAAGGACTTAATGTTGGCAAACAAGGTGATAAGCACCTAGCAATCAAGAAGAGATCTCCTCAAAAGAGATCTAAGCATCTAGCAATCAAGATGGGAACTTGATACCTCAAAAGCTTGGCAAACAAGGTGGTGATTCTTGATCCAAGACCTGCTCTTCAGGCTAAGCAACTTCTAGCTTCTTCAACTCCTTCAAAATGCACCAAA